TTGGCTCAGACTTAGCTTTCGTTTGAGACGATTTCTTTTTGCACTTTTTTAAAGGCCAGTTTATTTTAGTATTTACAAAAAAAAAATTTTATCTAAAAAGCTCATTAAGAAGGCAGAAACAATAAATAGCCATTGTCCACCAAACCGAAGCCCTTAAGTTTTTTGGGATGGCTTTCTCCTTACCTGCTTTATTAATAAATTTTTTAAAGCATTTTTAAAAATTAAAAAAAGGCCTTTTGTTTGGGACGGCTTTCCCCCCTCCTTCCCCCTGATTCTTAAAGCGGTTTTTAAGTTAAACAAAATTTTTAATTTTTTGATACTAAAACGTCATTTTAAAGATGTAGAAAATTTAAAAAAAAGGAATTTCATCTTCACAAAACTAAAAACCTATAGTAAAAAATTTCTTTAGGGAACTAAGTTAAAAAAATAAAAAAATTTGGTAATCAAAAAAGTTGATTTTTTGAAAGTTCATTAAGTAAAAACTGTCCCAAGACAAAGTCTTTAGTTTACAAACCCTTGATTCTCATTTGTTCATTCTCTTACATGAAAGTAGTAGGCAATAGTCATTATGGCCAATGTGATGAAACATAGGAAAATTATTAGGTGTAGGAGTTGTGCACCGCGCACAAAATTATGTGTTCACTAGCGGTACCGATATCGCCACACATCATAGCTCTTCGCGCAGTACCGTTCAACGGTACTGAGTGCCGTACCCTATCTCGAATAAAGGCTTGTTCGAACGGTTTTATCTTTCTCCCGTCCGCAACTTCCCGCACCTAATAATCTCCTCGAACATTGATTTGGAATTATGGCGGCCTTTTGTTAACCATACCTATATATATATAATAATATATATATATATATTATATAATATATATATATAATAATAATATATATATATAATAGTGCTGAAGAAAAGCCACAACTTCATCAAACTTTTTATTGGAATTAGACTGATGAAAAGCATGGATTTGAATGTGGGCGTTGCTCAAGACATCTCAAGTAATTCATTGAGATTAATTTCTCCCTTCTAGAAATCTTCCTTAATGCTCGAATAACGTTCAATAAAAAACTTCTTTTTATTGGAGAGAGAACTGTTTTCCTCTCCTTTATATAAATTTTCTCCTTGCTTTTTCCGTAATTGAAAAATAAATAAATTTGCTAGTATTTCGATTTTTTTTTCCTTTCACCATCATTCTTTTTCTTTTATTATAATATGAAATTTTCCTGATTACAGCAAAAAGCATATGAATAATTTGTTATTTTTTTTTTCTGTTTTTTTTTTTTTTGGGGAAAAGGAATAATTTTATTTACTTTCCTTTGTTTGACGTCGTTCTTAGAATATTTACGGGCAAGATTGAAAATTTACTCGCCTTTCCTCAAGTCCCGATTTAATTTTTAGGATTAGAGATAAAAAAGAGGATAAATGTTGATTCGAAAATAGGTAAATTATTCTAATATCGACGACATAGAATTATAAAAAATTTCACCAATTTGAATCTCACTCACCAAATACACAGAAGCAGCAGCAACCATGCAGATTAAGTGTGTCGACTGAACGAAATTCTTTCCGAGTGATAAGGTCTGTTGCAAGGTCACCTTGCCAAAAAAGGAGTTAACTTACCATTTAGAAAACCGAGTCATTAGGTTGTATTCCAAAACTGCATGTTTGACACTCCAGATACTCCATTTGACACCAGTCCTAACTTTCATTTCAAATTCTTATGATTTTTTTCCTCATGTTTAATACATAAATCATTTGCCAATTAATAATATAGTTTGTTACGATACCAGTTGAGAAGAACATATGTCATAGCCAGATCAAGTTTTCGTGCCGAAACGTGTCCGTTGAGCTGAAGTTTGTTGCACGGAACGAAACCGTCGGCATTTGCTCAACCCCCTCGCATTGTTGAACCAAACAAGTTCGAGTTCCTTTGTTCGCTTGCGAAAAAACGAATACAACATTCAGTCCGACCCTTCGTCTCGTCTCTCTTCTCCTCTCTTCTCTTTCTTCCTGCCTTGACCAGTGGTAATCTGATTGAGGTAAATCCGATGGACGCTAACTTTACGTTTTTGCAATATTAATTCCCTTAATTAATGAGTTATGAAATTCTCCAAATGTAGGATTTCCTTCGAAGTCGAGATTTTGGCAATCCCGAGCGCACACCTTTTGTTAGTTTTGTATGCACTTTTATTGTTTTTGTTGGTAGGTTTTGCGTCTTCCTCTTACTACAATATTATGAGATATGAAGTACCTATATTTTGTTTTAAGAAAAGAAGGTGCTCCTTTTCATTAGGGATGTTGTAATCATGTTATTTTGTTAGATTATTTTGATATTTGCTCTGGAACCGTCAGTCTATATTAATTATTAACAGTATGATTATACGCGTCAGGATGATACCTGTATCAATCATGGAAATTTTGAATTATTCTGTTTAATTTGGCAGTTTGGAAAGTTTGGTGATTGTTACGTCACTACATACTTTGGACGGCACCATTCAATGATTTGGCGGGTACATCAGTTTGTTTAAAACAAAATTAGTTGCCTTCTTGGGACGAGGCTGATCAAGTATTCGGAGGGCAGTACAACATTTCCGGACGGCAAAAAGTCTGACGACTCAGGAATCCAGGCTTCAAATTTTTCGGGCGTGCTTCTGCTATATGACACGATTTTTCTTTTTTTTTTTTTTTTTTTTTTGTTCCTTTTTATTCTATTATAACTTTATATTTTTTTTGCATGTCAGTCAAAATCTTATATTTGTTGTGTCATGAATGAAATTAGTAATGTGATTAGAGCACTAATTTGCTTTTATATTGATTGATTATTTATTGATCATAACAGCAATTGAATATATAAGTATTTTTTCATCTTAAAGTATATTGGATGGAGAATTATTATTCTTGAACCTTAGTTTTGGCCTAAGATTTGAAATAATTATCCATTGCCTGACAACAATAGGTAAAGAACAATAGTGATTTATTCTAAATTAGTATATAGTAATGAAGGATGATAATTTCACATAGCATAGGCAACCTGCGTGTGCTCTTGTATGGTAGTTAGTTAGACATCCCCTATTGAGTATTGACTTTGCAGTCGGGGCCGACGGGGCAAAACGAAAGTTTGAAATTAAAATCACCCTAATTTTTAATATGCAAAAATAAATTTTTGATGGTAGAACAAAAATTATTATATTTTTTCAAAAAATCTCAATGTGAACAATTCTTAAATAAGTACTTAGAAAAATTGTTCATAAATCTCAATCTCTAATAACATACTATAAATTTACGCGGTGAGAAAAGGGAAAAGTCTTTTATCTCGAATACAAAATTATTACTCATTCTTTATGATAACAGAAAATACAACTTAGAATCATGAAGAGATAGACCATACCACGTCTTTAGAAAAATACATTCATAAGCTTAAACATATCCAGACATAAGGTAAAATTGTTCCTCTCTTTAAACAACTAATGGACTGGTGTTGATAACTTTTTGTAAATTATTTCCAGATTGGAATGAGCCGACTGATTGAAAAGCACCGCAACGCACCAACCCTACTTTTAGTTTCCCATCTCTTAATATCTACAAGCCATGTCCCGTTAGGGCCGATTTAGTGGAGATAAACAAAATTAAAATGGATTTAATATAAAGCAATAATAGTTGACATCTAATATTTATCATAAATATTAATATAATTATTTAAGTTTCAATATAACTTTAATGATTATATATGATTAATCTATATGATAAATTATATTTGGGAATTTTAAAATATTATAAAAAATATATTCATAAAATATAATCATCTTACTTTAAAATAAAAAATATTATTAGAATGAATTGGTTTTGCAAAACGAATACCTACGAATCACAAATTCTTCACTGGGTACATATGATCAATTTCTTAAGGATTTTGACAGTGTTTAATTAAAAAATATAAATATTTGTTAAGGTAAAATAGTACGGGAATTTTAAATGACTATAGACGAAAAAGAGAATATGTTAGATTGATAGTTTATAGTATGCTCTCCATAAAAATTATCGATTTAAAAAAAACGGGCTACTAAATCAAAATCGCTTCCTAATAACGGGCAACTTGACATATTGATATATACATATA